ATAGCGCTTAACTGAGACTTGGATTTGGCAGATGAAGATTGATTTGGGCGGAGTGGACAGTTTAAGGAGTCCGCAGGATGGGACCCGCGGCAATGAATGCAACACAGTGGGCAGACATGGTTTCCGATGACTGCACATAGGCAGCTGTTACAGTTTGACCGTTGTTTAAGCTTAGGTGAATACCTAAGCGTATTGTTGAGAATGTTTATGATAAGGCTGCATGGGGGGGACAGATGAAGCTGAACAAGACGGCACTACTATTCAGGAGGTCGAAGCGTTACTACAATTAAGTAACACCTGGCAATGCGTGGCTGGGTAGCAAGTATTGTGCCTAAGGATAAGTCATCAGTCTGGAGATTGACAAAGGGGAACAATTCTTATGTATGCCTGTTAGTTGTAGCTAGAGTTCTCTTTTCTCCTCATAAAGTTTAATTAATTGATTTATTCATCACCAACTTGGTTTCTGTCACAGCAGCCATGATTCTCTTTGGTGTGCTCAGTAGAGCCACAGAGGCTACATCGAGGAGCAGCTGCGCAGCTACGGCTGTTGTGCCACAAACAACATCTAGTGCATTGAATTGTTGTGATGCCATGAGGTAGTAGGCGTACACATGTCCAACAAGCAAAAAGATAAAGAGCTCGAGGTAGATAGTTATGGAACTCCGGGAAGCGGACTATCCAAGTCACAGAAGGGGAGCGGACGTTTTAGTCGTTATCCTGGGAAGCCTGAATGGCTACCGGCGCCGCTCCTACTGCAGCTTTTAGCGCCTCAGAAAAAGCTTCGGGGGAGATTACTTGAAGACAGTATTGGAGGTTTTCGTTCAATGTACTGTAGTTCCGAGGGACATTCTCGGTCTTGTAGGAAGTCCATGGAGATGCACGCTCAATTGGTGCGTTTCCAAAAACGCCTACAGAGTTAACTTTTTCTGCCAAATCATCTATATGGCCTGTACTTGGGCAGAATGCAAAGCCAGTATTTGTGGGCAGGACATTGGAAAGCAGTTTGTTGTGATCCCCCAGTCTAGCCTTTAGGAGTGTCTGCAATGCATAGCCGGAATAGCCGCGGAGTACGCTATCATTTGGAAGGCGCACAAACAATCTATTGGCTGATTTTACTGTTTTGGGCGTTTTAGTTCCTTGAATATTCTTACTTGTTGTGGCTGGTTGCAATTGTTGAAATTGGCGCTACTTGGCATTGAAGAGTCGCATTAATACGGAACGTAATAAGGCTCCATTATTACTAGCCACATTTATGAAAACTCATACATTGACCAGCCTCCCAATTATCTAGCATAAGCTAGTGAATCGTGTCCTTCGCTTAGCTGTAGTAATTAGTTTAAATAGCGCTCTGATACTAAGTGGGTTTAATCAACAACTCTCCACTATAGTTTTCAGACTCTTCAATCTCCCCACTTGCTTCACTAGGTGATATTAAATACAAGCCTAACAGCTTACGCTTCTCTATACAGCTTCCATTACAACAAGTGCAAAGGACTGCGTTATTGTCATAGCCACTTGGAAGAAGACAAAAAATAAATACGAAATTAAGAATGAAACAGGGAGTCCTTACAACTAGCTATTTGTGTGACGGCTGTTAAGCCGAAAGACTCCTGTAGCCAACGCTGGCTAGCGTAGGCTATGGCACAAGGGGAAGGTCTCGGAAGCCACAGAACTTCGAATATTCTCAGTGAACCTTCTGGAAACACACTGAAGGTTCATGAGGATAACAGGTGTACCGAGAACCTTCTAGGTAGTTGTAGAAGCGGCTCAATTATTCAGGTCACAGGGAGAATCATCTTGATGGGCAGTAATTTAGAATATATATATATGTAGACTTTACATCGAGGAATTCTCTCTCCAGAGAATTATAATTAATATACTGTACTTACAAGATCGCCCAAGCATTTTGTACTGAAACCGTGACAATTTGGGACAAATAGCTGCTTAGTGTAACAGCTATTAGGCCTAAAGATTCCTGTAGCCTATGCTGGCTGGCGTAGGCTATGACACAAGGGGAATCTTCGAGAAGGATCTCGGAATACAAGGAGCTTAGAAGATTCTCAATAAACCTTCTAGAAGCACACTGAAGGTTCATGAGGACAACAGATGTATCAAGAATCTTCTAGGGAATTGTACAAGGGTCCATATTATTCTAGTCAAAGGTAAAGCCATATAGAAGAGGACTATCTTAGAGTGTATATATATTTGTAGTCTAGCTGTAGAAATTCTCTCTCCAGAGAATTATAATTAACATACTACACTTACAAGATTTCTCATGCATCTTGTAATGAAACTGTGACATTTTCAACAATGTTCTTATAGTGTTAACCTTCAAATACCAGTATCAAATCTCTCTTTATCTCATCATCATCATCATCTGTTGTTTGTCAGTACACAGGTTACCCTTCGATGACTTAGTAGTCTCAGTATTTCGTGTGGAAGTAACATTGTTTTGTTTTGTTCATTAACGTGCTAGGTTACATGGCTACCGTTGCACTCCTATTGGAGCTTAAGCACGTGTAGGGTCGGGCCGGATCAGGTTAACTACCGTAAAGTACAGATAAACCTCGTCCCACTTTAATGACCGGACCACCTCAGACTTCACCTATATGTTGAATCATACCAAGCCTAACCGTCCAGAAACCCGCTGTATACACGCTGTAGCGCAATTTCTTCCTCAGCCTCGGCCACCACGCGCCCGAGTCCTTGACATCCTCATTGACTCCGAAATATAAATGCCGTTTAAGATCTCATCGTTGCTCTAGCCTTGCACCTTCATATCGTACCGTTGGGTTGTTTTCGTCATTGGGGATTTGTGTAATCCCCTCGGTGCATCTTCCCTCTTCTTCCTCCTTTGTACACGTCCCGTTTCCATCATGACTTTCCTCATTAGGGCGTGTGTAGGTAGGTGATTAGACGGGTATGGAGGTAGGTCGCAGGTGTAGGATCGATTGAGAAATGCTTCGTCGCAAGTATAAAAGGAGTTTAAGAAATGTCGGATGTTTGAATACGACCCCCAGATAGACCTAGGCCCATTCGTGAATTGTATGTTGGTGGTGATGACTTTTTGTTCGACGTTGTTCCGGCTGTGAAATCTCTGCCGACTGATTTTTCGACCAAAATATCGAGTGCAACTCCTTCAAGTCGAAAATCCATCAATTAAAATTCATCCCACCCTTTTTCGTGACTGAATCTCGGCTCTGGGAGAATATTTCACTCCCAGGTTCGTAGAGGACACCACTGACAGGTGTTCAGCCTTCGTCCTCCGAGTTGGAGTAGGTGGTGTCCGCGTCGTAATTTACTTCCTACTATTTCTGTAGCAAGTCCAGCGGTTGGAATGAGTTGGGCCTGTAAGCAGTGATCCCCGCCGGCTCCACCAGTCTTGTACCTGTAGTGGACCTAGAGCTTTAGCTTAGGACTTTAATATAATATAAAAAAAAAACCCCCTATGTCAATAACCGCCATTAAGCATCACCTGACTTATCTCTATACTCCAAATTTTCAACATGACTGTATTTTTACTGTAGCTTTTTGTTTGTGTTTAACTTACTTTTTTAGAATCTCGTCTCTGTACTATTACTCCTTACATCTACGTGCTCGCCCTCATAAGTCCCCTGTCGTCCGATCCCTGACACTACCCACTGGCAGGTAAATAAAAAGCCCACGAAAGCAAAGTAAAAGAACTTTTCGCCTTCAAGAAAAGCAGAGTTTGATTCCTCAATAACATCGTTCTTTCTATCCCTTGCTTCCGAATCTACTAGTCAGGAGGGCACCTGAAATTAATGAGTTACCCGACGACCCCACGTCTGTAACGACTTTTGGATGCTAGGCTAAGCTCCTTCACGACAGTCATTCTCGACCAAGAATTTTCTGATATCTTTTCAAGAACTCCGGTTTGCCCTGCGACATGAATCATGGAAAGAGGAAGAAGGAGGCTATGAAGGTTGAGAGACGCTCTTAGGTAAATACGGGGCTGCTGGGACCGGCTGGCCAGCCTCTTCGTCATAGGAGAGCCTCGCACCCAGTGGTTTTAAAGACTTTTCCCTGCAGCTACACACCCGCAAATGGCTATCGTTTTGTTGGCTGGAGTGAGGTGATAGTGGCGGGATGACGGCTCCTCTTAGTGTGTACTCGAATGAAGACCTGTGGGGGTATTACTGCTGGAAAGAAGTCGTGAAGGAGGCATAGATACTCCTGGCCTGTAGGCAGAAAGGACTTACATGTCCTTACATAGAAATAGACTTTACAGTACAACAAACCAAAAAATAGGTAATGCGCAGTAATCCATTTCGAAATAGAGTCTCTGTGCGATTTTGTTATTTCACCTAATATGTTTATTTACTCAGTGTAAAGAGTTATTAGTCATGCAATGTGTTCTAAAATACCTATGTTTTACATTGATAACCCTCTTTCTCAAATGAGGCCACTTTCCTTATTACCAAAACACTTATTGATCGCTTTTATAAATCCTTTTTGGTGAATGCGCTATTTTCCGCTGCCTATATACTTCCTCTCCACAGGAATTATCGCTGCACTCCACTAACCCAATAACTCATACCCTACGGAACACTGATAAGCCAACTCCTTAAGATGCATATAATTCCATTGTGAACCGTTTTAATACTGCAGTAATGTTACTACCTAGGTTACATCATATATCACGCACCATTGCCATGCCTCTTGATGCAGGCCTTCGCTTTGACGCCTAACACCACTAAAATTTAAACTGACTTCATATTCTGAATGCCTCGGCCACTTGTAGAATTCTATTCTGTACAAAAATTTACCTTATCTACTTAGTGCTTGAATTCTATTTTATAGTCACCACTCACAATAGATCTCCTTCGAAATTTATAGCGAAAAACATTGCATTATGAGAAGAATGTTAGAGGCTGATAAATATTACATAACCTACAATAGTTTGAGTCATAGTTCATAAATCGAAAACATTAGAAGGTGACCAATGTTTTTACATTTCACTAAACATATTCTTCAACATCTTATTCTCTACAACCATTGTTGGTTTTTGTTTCGACTTCCTTCAATTTTTTGTCTGCATGTTCACTTATCCTAGCTAGCTCACCAACAAAGCTTTCACCCCACCAAGCACTGGTGTATTTGAAAACATATTTCTCTAGCTTCTTAAAATTAGCTTCTCTTTGCTCATGGTTCATTGTAACTGCGTCATGAATAGCGCCTGCCAATTCTTCTGTGCTCCACGGATTGACAATCAAAGCACCATTAAGAGATTGCGCTGCACCAGTAAATTCAGACAATATCATAACGCCATGTCGCTTGCGTTGAGTAGCAATATACTCATAAGACACAAGGTTCATACCGTCGCGTGTTGATGATACGAGGCAAGCGTCAGAGACAGCGTATAAGGCTGCAAGCTCATCAAAACTAACAGATCGGTGGAGAAAATGTATGGGCATAAACTCTACAGTCCCAAATTTTCCATTGATTCGACCAACAAGCTCATTGACAACTGCACGTAGATTTTGGTATTCTTCTACATCTTGACGAGAGGGAACTGCCACCTGGACAAGCACTACTTTTCCAATCCACTCAGGGTGTTCAGTCAAAAAGACTTCAAGGGCATGTAGTTTTTGTGGTACTCCTTTTATATAGTCAAGGCGATCTACGCCAACTATGAGCTTAATGCCTTCGAATTTTCGTTCTAAGACAGAAATACGATCTTTAACAGTTTTTTTCTCTAGCCCATCGACAAACTTTTCTGGGTCAATACCGATGGGAAATGCGGCTACAGTAACGTGCTTGCTGTGGTATTCAACGCCATTTGGAGTCGTTGGTAGGTCGCTATCAGCTGTTAGATCTTAAATCTTTTAATGCATTAAAAATACTCACAGTATCCTTGAGCAACTACTTAAGAAGTGCCTAGCATAGTCATAAGTATGAAAGCCAATTAAATCACAATGGAGGACCCCATGAAGGAGCTCTTCCCTGACAGGTAAAATCCTGTATATTTCACTGGATGGAAATGGGGTGTGTAGAAAGAACCCGATTTTGACGTTTTTCATCGAATTACCAATTTCTTCACGCAACATTTCTGGCAGGAGCATAAGGTGATAATCATGAACCCAGATTAGATCACCATCCTGCACGTCTTTGGCCATTGTTTTCGCAAACAATCTGTTAACTTCCTTGTATGCTTTCCATGCTGATTCGTCAAAGGTTATCTCGCCTGGATGATAGTGAAATAGAGGCCAGAGGATAGAATCTAGTGTATTTAGCTGCTGTAGGGTAAGGTTGGTTATGAGACTAAACTTGAAAACCCATTGTAGTGTTTATCTGCTAGGTCATCACCAATGAAAACTGGAACTGCACAGTAATCTTCGGAAAGGCGCTTCACCATAGGTCCTGCTTCGGCCTCGGGTACCTCGAGGCCAGGCCAGCCATACCATTGGAAGGTGGTCGCTTTAGCTAATCCACTAAGACCTGTTACCAAGCCTCCGGAGGACATAGAGAAGGCATAAGATCCATTTTCGAGACGTTTAATAGTAGTTGGAAGACGATTTGAAACTAGTAAGAGCCTGCCCGGGGTTTCCTGACCCGAGACCATGGTGGCAGAGAAAGATTTGATGGAGACAATTCTGAATTCAACACCGTAAGGCTTACGAGTATTATTAACTGATAGAGATAGCAGAAGGATGGAATGCAGGTGTCGTCATTCGAGCTAACGTTCACGCAAATTAGAAGAATGCGCGGTAAATTTGCGCGAAAACAAACTTGATGAGGTTGAGGCAAGAATCATAGCAGATTACGTATTTATGGTACTGACCTTCCTTGCTTGTTATCAAGTTGATAGAAATTGTCGTCGTGGTGCTACCTCACAAGAGCATATGGTTTCGTTATCCTTGGCCCGTCGTGTAGCGATAGTCTTACGAATTGAGTCGGTCGCCCTTGCGTATCAAACATTTTGACTCGGAATTAGTTAGAAAATCATGCTTTGTGTGAAAGGATGATCATTGATAATACAAATAAACTTCGATATCTAGGGATTTCGAGAGGAGATTTGTATATCCCACGTTCAACGAAATTACTTCCGATAATCTTTATAGTTCAAGAACATCATGTATTTCTGCTTACCCCGCGTGATAAAAGGTAGAGCTCAAGCAACAGTAAATGTTGTAGCTTCCCGAAAAAATTATAGCACATCGTAGTATATTTACCCCAGATTATACGCCATGAAATATGGTTAAGTCTCTACATTTTCTGGTGACGACTGAATAGGAATTTTTTGCCTTGGGATCTTTTCAGTTCATATTTCATTCCTTCACGCAAAGATCAAAGTCAGATGTTGCTGAAATAATATCTAGCCATCAACTGGGGGTTAACATACCAGTCCATAAATGACTAAAGTCCAATCAAACTTCTATACTGTTAGATGGATCACATCACACTGTTTATTGATAAGGCACATAGAAGTCTGTAACCATTTCAGGCTGTAAGTGCAGGATGTAAAGAATCCATAAAAGTGGTCATTACGGGGTCGCAGTGTAAGCAGGTTGATATTACATTTAAGCAGACTAAACTGATGAGAGAATCTATTGCTAGAAAATAAAGAACAATTCATATCGCTGTAACAATGTTAAAACCAACTAAATTCACTCTCCGTGTCGATAGGTTCTTAAAAAACCTTTGAGTGCATCAATACAGGTTTATCTGAAGAAACTGTAATGGTTATTGGCGCTCTGTGTTTTTGACGGCATGCTCGCAAGCGACGGGTAACACTTTTAGTATCAGACACGTACTACTGTTGTGAAATCAACTACAATTGTACAAAGGTAACAGAATTTGAAAAGATTGTGCGTGACTTGGTAACAAATATTTTTCCTTCCTCATGCAGATACTTACATTCTTGGGTTTCAGCAAACTATTAGTCAGTCGTGGGTTTCTCCTACACGTCTAGAACTTTTTTTTGCGCTGTGCATCTTTTTCATTCGCATTTTAGCTGCTTTTTCATAATTCTTCCTGTTAAAATGTATCAATCAGAGTTAGAAGGATACAAACCAATTTTGTTTAGGGATAATTACAGTTTTTTTACTTTTTCTTTTTGCTCAACTGAAGTAGCCCCAGGAATTTTCTTCTGATAGATATGTTTAATTTCTTGGAAAAGCCGATTATGGTTCTCTTCTTCATTCATAGTCTGGTTGCGGTGCGTATCGCATTGTATTAATATTGATTGTGTAGAATGCACAAAGTATCGGCTCTTCTTCAAATCAACATGTAGTGCCGCCGGTAAGTAAGGAAACAAAGAGCTTAATGGCCAAACTGTGGTCGCCTTAGAGCTCGTTCTAGAGATTTATAAGTCGAGTTTTTACACATTTTGAGATGTTACAGACTTGTTGGTTTTTTGACCGCCTGGGCCGGAAGCGCGAGAGAAGGTAGTCTTGGATAGTTTGGTCGGTATTGAGGTTTTCGTAAATTTTGAAAACCACACTCGAGCTGCCTCTATATCCGACAATAAATTCTCCTGCTGATGGTGATAAGACCTGCATGTCTGACTTGCCAAATATCGGTTATAGTAAGAAATTCTAGTCAGTGTAATGAGAAGTTTGAACTTTTGCATGCCTGACATCGTCGCTATCAATTACCTACATGTTTGGTCTAAAATCATAATCTTGTTGAAGCGAGAATTCATCTTGCCTAAGTTACAATGCTAGCTTTTCCACTCAGAGTGTCACATTTAAATTCCATCCCGACAAAGGCAACTGTAACTGTTGTGTAGTGTATAAATCGCATAAATGTGACTCCAACAGCGGTTCATTTGCATAATTCGCGGCTATTGTGGGGTCGCGCTTGCAACTAGATCACTTGATCTTTATCTAAATCCGAAACTATCATTCAAATTCTTCGTGCTGCGTACCTGACGCTTTTATTCCACTAGACAGCAACTAACCCTTCGTTACGCTATCAACCTTCTACCATAGCCACAAAGCGCCGAATTATTCACGAGCGAAACTCTGCCATGCCAAGAATGAACTCGCTGTTCCGTTGATCATCACTTCTCACGCGCTCGTCCAACAAGATAACGAATTCGGCTCTCGTAGAACCGACTTCCAGACACTGTCTCCCCTTCTGCAACTTCACTACCTACCTACCCACCCTCATACCTTATTGATTCTATTGAACATATTCTGCCTATTTAACTATCTACTCTCTTCTCCAAAAAAAAGCAAAAGCGATTTTTGAAAATTGATTTGGCCCAAGACTTTCCAAAGACTAGGTATTTTCACCGCCGTCTCCCCTTCCAGTCTTTCTATCAGAGCTTGCGGATTTTCAAGTCCTGTGGACTCAGATCGATTAGATTTCCAGTATGACTTCAATTCATCCTAATCCATCGCCAGCTATAAAAGCTACGGCATCGTCATCTTCCCATCCGGACCTCAATCAATCCCCAAGCATATCAAACTCACCCGCATCGAGTTTCTCTGATGCGTATAAAGAAGACGCCCAAATGGCTAACGTAAAAAATGGAGATTCAACACTTATCGACGACGACTATGCAATGACGTTTGACTCTGATGGGGAAGAACTTTCTGATAGACAGGATACTCGGGACATATTGCAGGAAAATTTTGAGCCAGGCATTGTATCATTGCCATCTATCGTATCAGCCACCAATCCATCATCTACCTATCCTTCTCAAAAAACTGATGCCATCGAATTGCCTCATCCTGGCGCATCCGCCGTCCATCCTCCCCACCTCAACCCTACCACCCATGTTGATCAGGCTCCTGAAGCGCCTGATTTCACTGTTAATCATAATAGCACTAATTCTGCCCAGATTCCTATCGTTACTACTTCTACCTTCACTAATAATGAAATGCCTAGTGCAAGGCCTCAAGCCTTTGACGATCTTACTGCTAGTGGTATTGATATTCAACAGCTCTTGGACAACATTACAGCCAATGCTGAGAAACCAGATTCTCCCTATCTAAAGAATCACAGCCTTCCCATGCATGCAAGCCTTCCGCCACGTCCAATTGTCTCCCAGAGCCGCAATCGTCCTGACGAGGCGCCAAAATATTTTGTTGGAACCCCAGGTCTCCCTCCAGCCTCTAGCTCTTATAGACCTCCGGGGGGTATCTCATCTCTCGTAGCTGCTGGTGCGCCAGGAACTTCTACTGACCCACGGAGCGGACTCCCACCTCCCCCGAGCGCATCATTTCGTGGCCCACTATCTGCTACAACATCAACAAGCCCTACCACTTACATCTCAGTAAATCAATCATCTGTGACGGATCTAGCAAATTATGTGGACAACGATGACGGTGATGATTTCGAAACTAAATGGGCTCCAAAAATACAGAAAATGTATGACGAATTTCTCGAGGACGAAAGGCGATATGTGACCGAAGGAATGTGGGATAGGTTTCCAGTTGGCTCACGATTATTTATCGGTAGGTTTAACAGCAATGAGTCTACAAAAAACTCTAACATTTGGACAGGGAATCTTCCCAGCGAGAAAGTAACGAAGCGTGACCTATTTCACATCTTCCATCATTACGGAAAGATCGCACAAATATCAATTAAACAAGCGTATGGCTTTGTTCAATTCTTGCACAGCGATCATTGTTACAAAGCACTTGATTCAGAACAGGGAGCAGAGGTTAGAGGGCGAAAAATGCGTATGTGTACTCCGTTAAGGAACCCGTACGAGCTAATATTATTTCACTAGATCTTGAAATTTCTAAGCCACAAAAGAATACCCGCAATGCACAACACGCAGCTGCTTCCACTGGCCAACGAAACAAATCACCAGATAGATCGGCCAACGGAAGAAGTAACCGTAATAACGATCGATTCGATCGCTTGACGGTAGCAGCTCGACCTGATGAACAGAGTCGCTCATTGCGCATCCGAGATGACTATCGGCCTGCTAGACCAGCATCGCCGCCTCGTAGCAGCAACTTTCGTGGTAGAGATGCCTATATTCCAAACTTACGAGAAACACACGATGCGCGCGATAGGCGACGTTCGAGGTCACCTTACAACCATAGAGATAATGGAAAATATCGAGAAAGAAGCCTCAGTCCCAGGGCTAGAGATGAAGCAGACGATATTGAAATGCTGATCCCTCGTCGTGACCCTCGAGATGTTCCAGATATGCAGATAATTTTGCTGGAACAGTTGGATAGACAATTTGTCTCGTGGGTGGAAAGCGAGGTGCGTGGCCGTGGTGTTAAGGTTGAAGTCATGTTCTTGAGTCCTCGGGTCCCAATTGAGATGGTTATTCGTCGACAAATTCTAGAAGGAGTATATGCTGTCTCGAGACTTGACGTCAGTTCCCAGAACTGTAGCAAAATTCCACTCCAAGTTTTCGATCGTCAGGGCGGAGCAAACGATGTACGATTTGACGAATACCAAGACCTTGATCCAAAAATAGCAGGTGAACTGGTTTTAAGAGCTAAACAGAGTCAACCGCTAGGACATAGCCAGGCTCCTCCATTCGCTCAGACCCCATTTGTTAGCCCTACATATCAAAATCCTGCCATGCCAGCTACAGCCAATCTTGCAAGTTTAGTCGGCTCACTAGATAATGCTACTCTTCAGAAGTTGTTAGAAACCCTCAACACGCCACAGCAGCAACAGAATGCCCCGCAAGCAAACGCACCATCTGTTGATCTTGTTAGTCTATTGGGGGGATTCAAACAGAATCCCGCAATACAGAATTACGCGCCTCCTATAACCTCCATCGAACAATATAGTAACGCTGCTCATCCAGGTCAGAACCCGTACATTAGCAATAATTCTGCCACAGCATATAACCAGTCCCAGCCACATCAGCCAGCCCAACAAGTTCAAAATATCATGGCTCAGCTAGCTAGGTTTCGGCAATAACTACTCAAAGCGGAACAAATGATAATAATTCACACTAAAAGTTATGGAGTCAGGGATAGCGGTTCTACTACTTTACTTACTGAATGTAATCATGATCAGTTATGCAAGATTGATCAGACTTAGCTACATCAAGAATACAAATTTTTATTATACAAATTCTTCCTATCCTCCAAATTCTCAAGGTGTATTAAATATTCCCGTAAGTTTAGGGATATTTCAGACACTCGTTTCCTGAATGAATAGATACATATTCATCAGATAGTAAGCAGACATTGTATGTGATTGTTAAGTGACGATACACTCAATTACTGTTATTTTGTATCGTTTGATGTGTAATATTCAGCTCTTATGTTGGCGCCGTCACGACAGGCCAATCGGACGGACTGACAAATAAGTTAGCATGTGCGATCGAATTGATGATTTATTACTTATACCGCACGAGTAAAAGTCTCTCCATTGGCACATTTTTCCTCATCTGGAGCCACAAGTTTAGATCATGTTTCAACTGAATCTCATTCTTGCCTATTGTATCGATGCCTCTGTCCACCAGTGCCATTTCAACTTCCTCAACACTCATCTCTTCGACACCCCCAGCCACCACGATCAAATTATCATCAAGTTTCAGATGCTCCAGTTTTTTTGAGACTTTCCTTTGGAGAATAGCGCTTGGAGTCCCACCAATCCAATCCCACAATTGTGAACTCAAACCAAGACTCTTACTTATATGAGATAGCTTCCTTCGATTCCCTATACTTGATGTCAATTTATCTGAAGAAATGTTAGCTAGTTGGCGAAAAGCTCTCTGCCGCATCTGTTCCAATTTCATCCTGTCATTTTTAATCTGCGCCGGGACTCGACAAGTCCAGGGTACAATTCCGCTAATAGCCATCACTACCAAAGGTGTAAATTCCCCGAAAATTACAAACATGAGCCCGAATGCCGGCACACGCTGAATGTCGTGCCAGTTGCGCATAACAAGCAGGAAATCATGGCGAGTAATCGCATTGGCTGTGGCTGCTGCTTCAACTGAGCCACCATATTTGGAATCAATGAGTTCTTTAATGGGTTGAGACGCTTTATAGTTATAATAGATATTTTTCATTCCGGATTTGTAAAAATGAAGATATGCTTTGCCAATGGAAAATAGGTGATAGATAATATTTTGATCGGTCTTTCGAGTTGGAAGATCTAAAGAGGTTGGCAATGTACTTAGTGGACCATTAACTTGTGAGCGGGTCTGAGTGATTCTAGTTGAGACATGTTGATATCGATGAATGACCAGTGCAAAGTATAGCTTTTTATTCCTAAGATCTGATTGATACCTTGTATTTTTTATGGTACGTAGAATTCGCATATTAGAGATGATCACTTATGGTTTGAAACTGTTGATAGCTGCGAATAATATTTGGACAGCCTCTTCTAGCTTCTTCTGCAACATATCTTCAGGAGAATATGTCGAATAAGACTAGCAAGGAAATAGTGCTGTGAGACGATAGCCTTCCCCCACCTGCAGGGTATCGTTGCAAGCGAATGATCTGTGCAATTGGATCAATTTAATGCATACTCCAATTCGAAGGTTTGGACATTTACCAACATGAGAGAGATACCTGTGTGGTCTAAATTGAACAAGTATCAGCGATCTCTCATGGTCAATCTACAATTCTCGAAGGAGTCTGCACTATCAAGTACTATCTGTTTGTGTATTTCTTGAAATGGAATTCTTATTCAAGCCCCTAATTAGCCCATGATTATGTGCTATAAACGCCATCTTAAAAGCTCTCAAATTACCAATGATAATAGATTTTGTTTCCTCTAGTACTTTAAAATAGTAACCAAGGGTCATGCCCTAAGATTTACATTTTTTCTTGACCAGCCAGGGCTATCTCCTCAAATTTTCGGCAAATGAGAAGGATGGCTCTCTGATTTGCCTTCTACGTTGGACTAGCAATATCGTTCTAGCTAACTTGAGAATTTTCTCCATTCTTAATGGGAGATAACTAGATACAGCTCACTTGAATATAACTGCAAGGCGTGGCAATATACCTGAATAGGGCGAATCAGAGATAATTGTCAGGCAAGTGGTTTTCAAGCATTCTTTTGGCGGGCGTTGTTGAGGCTCTTAAAGGATAAGATTATGTGGGACGTGGGATAAATTGAGGTTTGTGATGATTTGAGTTGTGGGTGTCTCATTCTCAAGGAGTTGGATGATCGGCATTCCACAAAGGTACGAGTTTTTAGATGAATGGAGTGTAGTATTATGTCCCATGGGAAGGCAATGTGAAGGCAGCGTATTATATAGTATTCACGGAAAAGGTAAAGATGAAGTGAGTAATAGAAGAGGTTGGTCTAAGAACAGCGTTCTCCACAGAAAAGATATAAGTACGTGAGTATAAGTTACTAGTGTAACAGAAGACGTTGCGTGAAGAATACTCCTTCACCCTGAGTATATATGTACATCAAGTAACAAAGCAGCCCATAGACTGTGTCTCAAACGGTATTACTATGCAATTCCTATGATACGGGCCTATTTGCCTAAGCCTATTATACTTGTTTAGAAACTCGATCTAACAGCACGTTGTTTTTGTCATGGGAATCCCCATGAGATACGAACTCAAGTTTCACTACGTTTATGCATGAAAATCGTGGTTCCAAACTACTAATATATATAGTGGAGCTGAAGACGAGATGTAACGTGATTTGCTTTTTAGAGAGGGTATTGAATTTGATTTCATTTAGCCCGATTTGGCGCCATAAGGCTTATGCAGGTGTCTACGAATCTAATATTTACATAGTAGGAAACCTTTATGGTAAAAACCCCCTCAACTTTTCAATTTATTTACACTTTAAAGTTGTGTTACCTTTAGGAAGTGCACTATCACTGTCATGTCCAGTGTGGATACCGTTCCCTTGCTTGCTACCGGGAGAAGTCTGTAAACCTTCTTCCCTCTTCTCTCTCCCTCATTGTGGCCTCGACTTCAAGCGTCAATCGAAACTGCTCTAACCTTCCTTCCTGCTGGATCCATCTAGTTATCCTTACAATATCTTTGAGATTGTTCATTATGGCCACAAATGACCGGTTCTCTGCCTTTCTCAGTATTTCTCCTCTACCTTTGGCCCGGCTGGTGCAGGCCCTGATCATATGCTTCACATTTTGAGACGGATATCCACATTGGCATCGTGGATAATCTACTCCTGGAACTTTTCATCTGTGCAGATAGTAATTAAACCCAATGTGTTCGCTTCTTATCTGTATGGCTATGCTGCTCTGGGCCCTGCTCTGATGTTTATGGATACTGGAAGGTGTTACTCTTTGGCTCATTTTTGTCTTTCCAGTCTTTTCATCTGTAAAGATATTTGCCGCATTCCAGAACCGATTGGGTTTAATACGAAGGAAAGTCCATCTGCAAACTACGGTGTTCTGAAAGTTTGCTAAACAAATATTTTCGACAATTTGCACAAATACGGGGCTAGCCCCAATGTGGAAGGTGACCTTGCCCAAGTAGGCTTAGTTGACACCTTAAATCCCTGCCATAGCCCCACTGCAAGCATGACACCGCGGCAATATGGTAGAAGTCCCTGTCTAATTTGCCGAAACCTCTGTCATGGCGCCCATAAACGATCCAGAGGTTGGGAACCCCTCGAAAGTGTCAGTCCCAGCATGGTCTTTAAAGACCTCATCCCCTCTCCTTCCATATCTCAGCCACCTGTTGTACCTCAAAATCTACAACTCCACTAGAGTAGCTGTCCCGCTTAAACCATGATCCGAGCTCTGTATATTATGACATAATTTCCTCCTTGTGGGTACACGTAGAGTGGTAAATTTGAATTGGGAGATGGCAGGTAATGAGTGAGGTAAGCCCCTGTTTACAATTGGGGTAACGCCTTTATCGGTCGTTGAGGCGAGATGATATGTGGTTAGAAAGAGGTTGAGGACTCAGAGGAGAATGGTAAGTGTTGTATGATTGTATTGACCGACACAAAGATACTTTGAGAAATCTTTGGGGTCCATGAAATTGTCTATCTTCATCCGATCCTCTCACCCTAGATCATATATATTCGAAATCTTTATTATACATTCCATTCTTTCTACTTAATTTATCAGATTTAATTGAATAAAAATAAGTATCTCATGTCAATTTCATTATAAATACAACCTCAAGGATCCCTAGTATAAAGCGCGAACACAAATAGATTAAAGTTATATAATTTGAAAATTTTTGCTAAAAGGAATTTGTGGGTGTTTTTATTTTTATTTTTAACTAGCTACTGGTTTTGAAATGTTTCACGCAGTGAGACCGAGTTGGGCATCTGGGAAGCATGATCTCGGCCGTGTACACCGGTCCTTGACTCCTAGGAGATATAGAGGTAAGCTTAGGATCATAAAATCAAAGAATAAGTAGGCCACGTTTTTGGTACACACGTGACTACAAATTCTGTACTTAGTTTCACATCGGTAGTTGCAAGAATTCGCCCTACAACCTCAATGACTGAGGGGTTATTATTTTCTTAATACTACTCGAGTCTATGACTATCTAGCACATTGGGCTCCTTTCTGGCTCAGGCCTCACCTTGTACAGTGCTCCTTGCCTCTTTTGTTACTTGTAAGATCATTGATATATTGCCCGTGATGAATAGCCATTCAGCTCAGTGTTTACCCGTGGAATTCGGCCACCTTTTTCACGGAACCTTCTGCCCCAAAAAATTGAAATGGTAGCAATTGAAACTGCGTGCGCGAGAAAAAGTCTCAAAAAACCTGCAGCCCCAGTCAGGCGAGGCCTAGACACCGGGAACAAATGAGGTGCGCATATCCATCTGTATCTCCCTTCTTTGTAACAGTCGAGGCCGACTTGATTCAATCCACCATCGCCGTATCTGGTGCTGAGTACGCTCCGGAAACTCATCGAATGGCATCTCCTCGATGATCAAGGGTTGGTGATGAATAGGGCTCCGACCCTAACATCTGATCTGATCGTGGTTAGCTCCATGATAATGGTGATAGGGGAATGTGTTGAGAGATGAAGACGATACAGACCGCGAAAGTGATTGGGAATCCTCGTCGAAGTGAGGACTTTGTTACTCAATCTCGGCTCTGCAGACCCTGAAGTGACAGCCGGAGGTTCATATCAGATACCACTGACAGGTGTTGAGTTTCGTCCCCTGCAGAGACGGCGTTGTTTGGCCACGGAAGGTAATGTTTAACATTCTCTCACGATTGCCTATACGTTTAATTTGTTAGATGCCTATCGCAAAGAGATACCTATTCATAAAAATGAGATCTAGTATGATTGTATTCTTTTCTTTTAATAAATTTGATAGCTTTTGACAGCCTGCTGTGACCTACTGCTTAACGTTTCGCATTTTGTGTGGGCAATGCACGCATTTAGCCACGTCTTTCCAAAATTTAGTGATTTACTTCTTATAGCCTCCATCCGGGAAAGAAAAAGTGATCAGTCAAAGCAACTCCGTATTCAAGATCGTTTTATCTCTGGGTTACTAACAAATTCCTTGCATATCATTCTATATCGGCGCTACCAGGTGTCTTCAGCTCATCTCTAGCAGTCAGAAATGTCCAGAGTATCATTTTTGAACTACATAATTGTTGATTAACCCTTCTACTCGAAGACTCTTATCTTTCGCTTTTAAACGCCAACCCCCAATTATGTTTACTCGATCCAATTTATAAATGTAAGAATATTTATCGAATCGTTTTAATCATTTGGTTTCAGACCTGATTCTGAATAATCTGAATTTAAATAAGCCTTTAGATCGAAGTGTGAAAATTAAAATAAACTACCTTGGTTCGAATGACTTCGCATTGATCTTGTAATTCTTTGATCTGCTTATCAACCCTTTTTCTTGAGATATTTTAGCAATTCATTTTTGAAAGCGATGAGAACAAGTCCTACATTTCATTGTCTATGAACTGTAGTCTTGCATCGACTACCATTTGGGCATCTGTCTTGTCTTGTTTCAAAAGCACGGGTCCAGTGAGTTTGTAAACATTGGCGTCATTATTAAGGCTTTTAAATTCCTATCTTAATTAATATTATTGGTACTATTTGATTCCTGTAATAGCACAACCTTCAACACTGTTTTGTTCTCCGTCTGTTGTGATTCTAATTTCTGCCTTGATAGAATATGTGTTTGAAGTTCTATAGGACCGTCATGAGTGTTGAGCGTAGGTTTCAAGGGCTGGGTATCAGGTACCCCGTTGCAAGTTTTGGAATTCGTCTGAGAGGGATTTTTGATCTTGCTGTGTATCATCCATAATGTCGAAATCTTGATGACCTGTCAGGCGAGTTGAGCTGGTATGGAATTATTTCTTCGGAGACTAGGCACAATGAAATATCGTGAATTCTGGGTCTTTTCGACTTTTTGAGTGCTTAAAGCGGGCAATGGATATTATCTTTGTGACGGCCTAAGAAAGATTGAATGGTACAATCATTCAGTTTCCCCCATATCCTTAGCGTCGCGTGCCGAAATGTTCGAGCCTTTACATACTCAAGGACAGGTGATGAAACTTGAGGCTGCCAACTCGACTGGCTGTAGAGAGGATAAAACTTTCTCCTTCAAGCTTTAATTTCCCGTAATAAAGTCTAGACTCGACTCCAGATTCAATTTCGGACCTTCTTACGCCACGGCTACTTTCAGCTCATACAATCAAGTTACGTGAGCGACATAATCTTATTTTTGTGTCTGGTTTAGAGGACACAACGCCCGGCAGCACGACGTTGCCTTACAAATAAATATCACTATGTCTAATACCGATTTCTTGGGCCGTGCTATAGATGTGGTAAAAAAAGCGATTGAAGCTGATACAGCCGCCGAGTACGAGAAAGCCTACCAGCTCTATTACCAATCACTTGAGCTATTTATGCTAGCACTAAAATGGGAGAAAAATATTAAATCAAAAGAAATGATACGGGCTAAGGCAGGTGAATATATGGAGCGTGCGGAAAAGCTCAAAGCACATTTGGCAGATGTTGATGGCAAGCGAAAAGCGACCAGCGTAAATGGTGCTAATGTAAGGAGTACGGCAAGCAATGGAAAAAACGATGACAAGGAGAGCGACGTCGACCCTGAAAGTAAAAAATTAAGGAGCGCTCTTGCCGGCGCCGTTCTTCAAGACAAACCAAATATCAAATGGGAAGATGTTGCAGGTCTAGAGGGCGCAAAGGAAGCACTGAAAGAAGCCGTTATTCTTCCTATCAAATTTCCACATTTATTCACTGGCAAGAGACAGCCGTGGAAAGGTATCCTTCTATACGGGCCACCCGGAACGGGAAAATCTTACTTAGCCAAAGCTGTAGCTACCGAAGCAAATAGTACGTTTTTTAGCGTAAGTAGTTCTGACTTGGTCAGTAAATGGATGGGGGAGTCGGAAAGGTATTTTGAAGCTTCCAACACATTTCAGTTCTGATATAGCTTCAACTCACGAGAATACAGGTTAGTCAAGCAACTCTTTGCGATGGCACGAGAAAATAAACCCTCTATAATATTTATTGATGAAGTAGACGCTTTATGTGGACCTCGAGGGGAGGGAGAATCAGAAGCCTCACGTCGTATCAAGACAGAGATGTTAGTTCAGATGGATGGAGTTGGACGTGATAGTAAGGGCATTCTAGTGCTTGGGGCTACAAATATACCATGGCAGCTAGATGCGGCAATTCGAAGAAGATTTCAAAGACGTGTTCATATCTCCCTTCCAGATCTACCCGCACGCACAAAAATGTTTGAGATCAGCGTGGGAACAACGCCTTGCGAATTAAATGGTGCAGATTTTAGAAAGTTGGGTGAATTAAGTGAGGGGTACTCGGGAAGTGATATTAGCATAGCTGTGCAAGATGCTCTTATGCAGCCAGTTCGAAAGATTCAAATGTCCACACACTACAAAAAGGTAGTATAACCGATAAATTCCAGTCTTCAAATAGCTCAAATCAAGGCTAACTTCGCTAGGTAATGGATGGAACCACAGAAAAATTAACACCTTGCTCTCCTGGCGATGCTGGAGCTATGGAAATGAACTGGACTGAAGTAGAATCAGACAAGCTTTTGGAGCCTCCACTTCAATTGAAAGACTTTATTAAAGCAGTAAAAGGTGCACGACCAACAGTATCACAAGAAGACATTAAACGAAGTGAAGAATGGACTGAGGAGTTTGGGAGCGAAGGTGCTTGAGTATGTTGTAAACATTCTGTCTTACATTAGAATTTTTTAATTAACTTTTTTCAAAATCTCACTACATAATTCGAAACAATTTCTGACTAAATCTCATAATATTTGCACAATCTAATCGCTTCCCTTGTTTTCGTGATGCCATCTGCTGAGTGAGGGCTCATCTGTTATGCCCAGCTGTGATATGTGTAATAAACCTATAAGTTGGTGCAAAGCTAGTTTTTGTAGCATCGTGGCGCATGGAGATCCATTCCTATGAAGCGGTCATAAAATTAGGTTTCACTTGTATTTGTCTGTATTTTAAAGTCCTGGACTACGCTCGTTATAAGTTCTGACTTAAGATAGGTGGAACTGGCTGAAAACACTGCTCGCAGGTCAAACTCTTTCTCACTGCGTGAATTTCCACCATAATTGCATCAGATTACAACCAAAAACCAAATTAACCCCACAAACAGAAGACTATTTGTAATGGGATCCAAACAATGCGCTTCTTACACAGTCCCTCACTCGTTATAACTCGCGGTTGAAAATTCCCCAATCTCCATTGAGTGCAAGAGATGATAATACGAGTTTCCGCCACAATCGTTGGTCCCTCTTCAAATTTGCTTTAAGCCATGAACGACTGCTTCCAAGTGCTTTCGGCACCTCAGGCTTGTTTCTCGGGGTTCCATGCTGCGAAGCTAAGTCATTAGATATCGCCACGTCTTTCGGGGTAGTCCGACTTCCTACCTTGGCACCATTACAGCATCCTTTTCTCGGGGCACTGCAACGATCTTACGATGATAAGCCTGTAGAATAGCTACATGTTGCTCTCTTACTTCTGGGTTATTTTGGGTCGGCTAAGCTAAGCAATCACGAATAACCGATCCTTGATGGATACAATAGTTTCCACACTATTAGCAGGTTTCACATTCCGCTATGGAGCACATCATTCAGCCATAATCACAGCAAGCTGGAGTGCAGGAACAACCATGAGTGGCGTGGTAGTCTAGGCAGCATCCATGCTAGATTTATCAATGAAGCTTGAAAATTGAAGCTATTCCCGATTTTTCAAAATGGTTAAAGCCCGCACAAGTGGCGGGCTTCCGAGTAAAAAGGGCGTGGTAATTACATTAGGTCGTACCTAGATTTAGAGGTTTCCAGTCACCTAAACGGTTCCATCTGGGACTCAATCAGCATTGACCGTTAAACAGCCATGCTATGAGTTATTATTAACCAGCAAGTTGACGATCCTGTATGCGACTAGATCCGAATATGATTAGAGTCTAGCGATGACACTTGCCAAATTCGCAGAGGTCTCAAGTAAGTCCTTTCATACTGTGTCATCCTCTGCCACAATGGCATAGCCGGCTCCTGTTGAGATCTAACGGTCTTCAATATGCGGAAACTGCCCTGGTAGCTCAATCGGTAGAGCGTGTGGCTCTTAGAATTATCTCAAGGTCGCGGGTTCGAGCTCCGCCTCGGGCTCATTCCCGACGGGATAAAAATTTTAAGGGGACTATTCTCAACACCTGTCAGTGGTGTCCCCTACGAACCTCCAGCTCTCACGTAGGGCTTGACCCTCACTGTCCGTGAGAAAATAGTTAAAAATTGTAAAATTGGAAAGGAAATAATGTAGCTAGTATCTTATATATAGATTCTAGGAGTCCTCTATAGTCATTGACTCAGTTCGGACTATAATATAAATCTAATCTAATCTAATCCAGCTCTCACTGTAGAGTTTGCAGAGCTAAGATTGAGTATCACCTTTGTCTTCACTTCGACGAGGATTCCCAATCACTTTCGCGGTCTGTGTCGTCTTCATCTCTCAACACATTCCCCTATCACCATTATCATGGAGCTAACCACGATCAGATCAGATGTTAGGGTCGGAGCCCTATTCATCACCAACCCTTGATCATCGAGGAGATGCCATCTGATGAGTTTCCGGAGCGTACTCAGCACCAGATACGGCGATGGTGGATTGAATCAAGTCGGCCTCGACTGTTACAAAGAAGGGAGATACAGATGGATATGCGCATCTCATTTGTTCCCGGTGTCTAGGCCTCGCCTGACTGGGGCTGCAGGTTTTTTGAGACTTTTTCTCGCGCACGCAGTTTCAATTGCTACCATTTCAATTTTTTGGGGTAGAAGGTTCCGTGGAAAAGGTGGCCGAATTCCACGGGTAAACACTGAGCTGAATGGCTATTCATCACGGGCAATATATCAATGATGTTACAAGTAACAAAAGAGGCAAGGAGCACTGTACAAGGTGAGGCCTGAGCTAGAAAGGAGCCCAATGTGCTAGATAGTCATAGACTCAAGTAGTACAACAAACAACACACACGCACACTCAAAAGTTTTTGAAATTGGAATTTTTGAATCTTCCCCATTTTCCCCCATATCCTCCCTTTCACGCTCGTCGCATTCATCAGAAAATATGATCTCAGTGAAAACCCCCCGACTTTGGGATAGCACTGGGGCGACCCAAAAAATTGCGTGAGGATCGTGCTATCAACGCCCTCGGAAGAACGCACAAAGAGTGGTTAAATGCATGATCGACAAGAGCTCGACAGTAAAAAATATTGACCATGGAAAAATGAATTTAGAGCTTATCGAGAGGATCAATACCTTCGAAGAAAACACCAGCTCTCGCAACCCAAACATCGAAATGTCCGATAGAACAATCAACATATATATCCAAGAGGGCACAAATACCTCCAGGTGGAACGTAGAAAGCTCGGAAGACAGCCAAGTTATAGTCATCCCTGCCACTACAATTAGAAAAATTGCTGTCCCTGCTGTTAGGCGGGCAGCAACTTTACACTCAAGCATGAAAAAAGGCGCTGCATGCTCCAAAAACCCCCCTGAAGGTACATCAGGGATTAGAGAGGAGAGTACCGCTTCTCGCAGCGAAAATAATCCCAAGCTGACAGAAGAATATCCCTCCGAACTTAGGGCCTTCATCGAAGCCGAGGAACGCCGGGTTGCTAAAACAGCAGAAAATGTAAAGATATGCACCGCTGCAATATACGGTGTCGAAAATGCTCTCTCCCCCCTATCCAAAGGGACGAGTGTTCAATTTATAGACTCCATGAAAGTCTATATCAGAGCTGCATTAGCTCAATTCATGATATCGGGACCCGGCACAGTCCTACCAGCACTTCATTCGCGCCCTGAAACCCAGGCTACTATCACAGACCAGCTTTTTGATACTGTGTTGCACCTGGCCAACCGCCCCATAAGTACACTCAGGAGTAGGGTTTGTGCGTTGCGATGGTAAGCGTGTTGTGATAGCAACAGTCACTAGTCAAGATACTGATCAGTTGCTATGTTACAGCTGTGGCCTATTGCACCCTTAATTTTAGTGACCGGTCTCAAGTACTTAAGGAGGCTCTTGGACTGTATTTATTCTGGGGCTTTTTGTCTTGTATTTTACCTACATTTCTAGAATATTGTCTTAGTCCTAGTCCTCGCTCTCGCCCTTGTCTCAATCTGATTACTCCTGACCACTGACAGCTACTGGCAGCAAGATTACAGAATATGCCGCAAAAAAGCAGGATGAGCTACAAAGTAATGTGGCTCAAGACAAAGTCTCACAGGCTAAAACGACTTGGGCCTCGATCACCCGGAATGGTCTAAAAAATCCCCCCGCACCTACAAAAGTCGCACAGGCTATTCCAAAGGCGACAAACTCGACTCGGCCATCAAAAATCCCAATCGCCTCATTAAAATCAGTCACCAAAGATGGATGCCTGTTTCTTCGCCTTGAAAATGAACACTGTTGAAATGTGATATATCTTGGAATGCCAAGAATAACTTATTAGTAAGTCCGGCTAATTTGACTATCAAATTCCCCATTCTATATCACTGTTATCAATACATCATTCACCGAAAGTCTAATGCGCATTAGCGTTTATTCCACACTAGCATTCCAGCGGATGACTATGTCTCAAATGAAGGTTATTGTTTTCTGGTATCTATTACCGACACAAATGTATTTAGCTTTATATTCCTGGCCCATATATGTGTATATACATAGATCTACATCTACATGGATCATAACCTACGATCCATGGAGATTGATAAATACTGGTCAAAAACCACAGTTGATAAGAAATGCGAACACGCAACCTCACTCTTATCATCTCGGTTTTACTCTGAACCATACATCTAAATATAATTGTTTCCACTCGGATCTTCCTCTCACAACCTCATACGAGACTTACTGCATCGGTCTAACCGCCGACACTGATTCCGCTATAACCTCCATCTTCGCTCAAGCTCATAACTTTAACAAACACCATTGGAGAAAGCTATCACAGTTTGATGTGAGATGGGCTATGGCTCAAATGCTCAAAATTATTAAAACCATTATTGAGCATGTATACCGCGTTCCCACTGTCTTTGCAATTAGAGCCGAAAATCAAGAGATACACGTACTGATGTTAAGTCTAGCTGGGTCCCTCGTTCAGCGAGATGCCATACTGGAAGAAGCATCGGATTTGGCTTCCCTAAGAATAGCGACGCTCCCGGTTGCAATTGACACAATAATTGGCAAAGTTCTCATCACAGAAAAGATGGTGGCTGACGAGATAGTCAGGGTCGCCAAGGCTGTCCTGGTAAACGTTCGCCCACATGGAGTCCCATCTCAGTCATGGGTAACACTTTTCGAAAAATCATTGATTCCTTGGCCAGGCTTCCGACTTTTTGACAACTCTGAGATTGCAGCCCGTCACCAGCCTCGTCAAAGCATCAACCAGTGCAAACAATGCCTACAAATCCGCGGCACCAGAGGCTGCTCGCGCGCCTCAGCCTGCTGGAACTGCACTTCAACTATGCATTCCATTGCAGAATGTAAGGCACACACCAAGTGCCGCAACTGCGTGGGTACACACACATCAGATAGTCGAGACTGTCTAGCTCGCCCTACAAAGCCTGGAATGACCACCTGTCACAGTTTGACCGTTTTATGAGCTTATGTGGATACCTAAGCATAATACTTAGATTGTTTACAATAAGGT